GTTTTTTTTTATGATAGCATAGTAATCCACCATGGATGCCACATGGAACTCTCAAAAAATATTTTGTGTGTTTTATGTATCAATCAATTTGATGCTTCAAATTGAAAAAAAGAAAAAGTGAGTTTCACCAACTAAAAGAGTTCTTGACACAAAGATGAACACTAAATTTTATTATTCACAAAATTGTCCTCATAATAAAAAGTTTGATAGAAGTCTCACAAAAAATAATTTCTCATACATTTCGATGGTCTGAAAGATTCTCTTTCAAAAAAATCTTATGGTAACTATAACAGGAAAAAAAATAAATATCTTGATTTGGATATATTTCTCAAACTTTTAAGTATCTTCTTTACATCTCAAAGTTATATCATAACATTGGTTAACACAATGCAATAAGAACTAGTATAGCAAACTTTTGTGTCAGAAGGCCTCTGAGTGCTAAGAATGGGAATATCAATTCACTGAGTGTTTATCACTGACAGAAACTTAAATGTGTGTAAAGGACTGGCATTGTTGAGATCAGTAGCTGAGAGGAAGCATTTCTGTTCTCTTCCTTTAACCCTTAAATACCCAAGATATGATTGTTAATTCTCCTTTCTAGTTGCTACTCATTTACTTGTAAATAAGTTATGAGAATTTGATGTAAGATCAAGATAACTTCTGCCTGATAAGTTTCAGTATTAACATTATCTGTTTGCTGGATAGTGTTTGGAGAAGTAACATGAATCAGTCACTTCTGTGAGTTTTTAAATTGCCTAATATTTTGGTCTAGTTCTTTCAATGGTGTCTTGCCACCTAATGAATTACCATGAGTCACAAACTGAAATGGTTTTCAATGTATCACGAGCATAAGTTGTCCTGAACCAGATGGATATGAAAATATTATGACATCTGTTAGTTACAGTTTTCCTCATGGGTTGATAGAAACATGGGTTATAATTAAGTGGTTCTACGGGCTCTATTGTATAGTTTCCCATAAGATAAAATGTACAAATAGCAAACTAAAAGACCTCTTGGTGAACAAAATGGGAGAAAAATTAGAATAAATGATATGCTTTCCAACAAACAACATGGAGTTATAGTTATACCGGTTTTCCTTGATCCATCCACAAAAACCAACATTCCAAATCTTAATTAGAAGCAGTGGATAAGAATGTCAACCTCGAGAAATGTTCACCGGTAAATCCCACTATAAAATTATTATTGTCATTATCATACTGATTATTATTATTGTCTCTTCTATCACAGTCTTTGCTGATGTTCTTTTTGTGCATCAGCTGGCTGCAAACCATGCAGCCAGGGCATCAGTCACACAAGTCAATCATTCTGTTCATACATAAGCACCTTTCTGAGGATTTTCACAGATCCTATTATGCAGATGTTTTGAATCTTTGTCACAGTAGCTGCTTCTGATACTTTCTTTATGTTTTCCACTAACCTTTTCTTTACTGTATGAAGCGTACCAAAACCACAGGGATTACTATGATTTTCATATGCCACATTCTCTGCATTTGTAGTTTAAGGTCTTTGTACTTGCTTTTCTTTTCCATTTCCTTCAGAGCGATGTTTCTATCTGATGGACCAGTCATATCAATCAGTTTGCGGGTGGAATTCACCAAATTTATAACTACGATGTCTGGTTTGTTCACTCTTATTAATAGTTTGGTCAGTATATGATGGTGATGTTGCTGTCTTTATTGTGCATCACAGTCTTTGGCTCGTGTTGGTACCATTTGTCTGTAATCTTGATATCATGATCTTTACAGATTGATGCTCCAATGGAGATGTGCTGCTGCATTTTTGTACCTAGAGTTGTACTCTGTTTTAGCTAATAACTCACATCCAGTTACATCATCCATATGATCTACTGTCTCTTCATTTTGCAAACACATTCTACATTTGCTTTCCACTTGCTGGCCACACATGACTTCCTGGTAGTTTCTGGTGTTTATTACCTGGTCTTGAGCTGTGAAAAGTAGTCCCTCTGTTTCTCCTTTCAGATTACTTGACAACTATTTGTTGGTAGTGACTGTGTCTATGTGAGGCTTCTCCAGAATCCTGGGATACTGGCCATGCAATGCCTTGTTTTTCCACTTTTCTCCTTTCATGGATTTCATCTTCAACTTGAATATGTGTTTTAGGGCCTTAGCATTTCCTGAGGCTGATTTGTCTTCTTTGTTCTCAAACTCTGGCATTGTTACTTCCCTTTTTTTTTTTAACTTAGTGGCATTCTTGGTTATTGAATGTTTGGCTTTAGGTCTTAGATGTTCAAGCACCTGCTTTGGATATTGCCCTTCTTTGTGCCTCAGATAATGATTGATCCCTACTGTTACTGTTTTGAATGCTGTTTCTACATTAATCAGGCCCTTTCATCCATCTTTTCGTGGGATGTACAGCCTTTCCACATCTGCTTTATTATTATTATTATTATTATTATTATTATTACTATTATTATTACTTTTTTATATATTTATTTAAAAAAAAAAGTATTATTACTATTACTATTATTATTATTATTAATGTGGATTAGTGCCACCTAGCGATTTGACTGCTGGACTCCTGTCAGTATGTTGAGGATGAGGAGACACTTACCTCTTGCAGTGTCATTCTCTGCCCAGGAGTATAAATGAATATCTGAAAACTGACCGCAAGGGGAAACACTTGACAAATTATGGACTATGCTGGGCGAGGAGAGGTGTTGGGAATTGGAGGTTATAAGTTCCTGTGATGAAACCAGGTTATGTTCCTGTATATATTTGGCCACAAGACCTGTGACATGTAACCTGTATTTCAAAAAATTAAGCTTTGATTTATTGTTATCAAAACTCATCCTCATGTTTTGTTATCTGCTTTCCAGGGATTCAGTAGCTTTCACTTTACATGCCTGATGGGAAAGTAGAACACTTGCTCTACTGATGGAGAGTAATAGGTGTGGTCAGACAGTGGAGGAGTCATCTGATGTTGTAGAAGTCATAGTTATACCTGATGATCCTCCTTCATCACAAGACATTACTGTTCCATCTGTGTTATCCACGTCATCTTCTTGTTCTTCATCATCAGCTAGGAGAGTTACTGAAAATTCACAGTCGCCTGCAGTGCACTTTGTCACTAGAACTGACCCTGCAGACTGTCACATGACATCTGGTGTGAACAAACCTCCACAGCTACCTATGGACAATAGGAGGGAGACTCAGACAGCAGGGGAGTCAACTGTCAACACTTCTACTGCAATATCATCACAAGCACCAAGTAATCTGACACAATCAACATACCCTATGCCCAGAGGGTCTGCAGCTTCTTTACCAGCAAATGAGGTGAGAATTTTACTCTTGCATGTTGTATTTTGACATCAAATAATCTAGCAGGTCACCAGTCATTTTGTACCTGTGCATGGTCATTTTATACCCAATCATTTTGTACCCTCCTAGGTCAAGTGTGTTTTCCATTGTTACATATGATTAAAGTAAGGTGGGTTTCTTATTTTAAATAGCAATGTTACCTGCATTAAATAAGTTTTATATATGTGGCATCCATTATTGACATGCAACTACCAAAGAGAGGAAAAATCACTCTTACAGTAGTTGTTATTGTTAAAATAGTCATAGGTATAAACAACACACTGTTCTATTAAAGACATCACATTCATCTTGTGCTATAGTCATTAATATTCTACACAACAGAATTTTGTTTTTATCTTACTTGCTTGACTTGACTTACTTGTTATACACAACAAGTGACATCTGTTCACACACTTGTATGTGAGGTATTTCAAATGAATGTTTATTGGGATGGGTACAAATCAACCAGTAGTTTGGTTACAAACCAACTCAAACTGGGTACAAATCAACTGAATTTTGGTAAGAGACAATCTTGGGTACGAAACCACTCGAGGCCATGTTGTGTGAGTAGGGTTTTTAAAATTAAATGTCTTCTGAGTAGTTTTACAGAATGATTAATTTTAACAACATCCCACCTTACACTATGGCTGTTTTTAATCTGGGTGTGAGACAAATCAAAATCACTTCTATGAAGTTCAGTGAACAAACCACAGTTATTTGTTTACTCTTTGTTTTCTCAAATTTATTTGCTCTTTGAATAACTAATCCTTTCTTTCCTTAAACTTGTTAGTTATTTCCCCATTTGTCTTCAGTTTGGTCTTGGTTTGATCTTTTTCTGAGTTTGATTGTGGTTTTCATTTCTGCTTGTCTTTTGGCAGTTTCCAGGTGGTTATTTCTTTTCCTTTTCAGAGTTCTCCTCTAATTACATTCCCATTAGTATTTACTGGGTAGTATTTACTTATTTATCTGTTTTATAATTCATGCTTCCTTGGCATTGCATGCTTATCAGAATTAAATCACTCACATGACTGGCTCATGGAGCTGATTGAGTCCACTGACCATCAATTATCAATAGCTTTGATAGATCTAGCTCTTGAGACAGTGCACTTAAGGGAAGAGGAATTTGAAATGCATAAATGAAATGTATCTGTAAAATATGTTAACACACATTTGAATTATTCTGTGATGCTGATGTACAGTGCAACACCACTAACTCAAACTCCCAAGGGAAACAAAAAACTGTAGAAGTTAAATGTGGTTTGTGTCCTGTTAATAATTCATTTAAGAAATAATGTTTTTACCTTTCCTGCACAATCAATAGTCATTTTCATACATTTAGACTGTTTTAGAAGAGTCTTTTTACAAGTCATGTTTAGTCAAGCTATATGTATTTCATTTTCATGAATGTCATCATGTTCAGCTATGTTCTGACAATTTGACATTATAATCAATCAACATTTTTTCTCAAAGTTTGAGTTATAAGGGTGAATTTGAGGAAAGGGAAAGTCAAATTAGTTTGAGTTTATGTAGAGTTTGAGTTAAGAGAGTCTGAGTTTGCTGATAGTAAATTGGGGTCAGATGCAAGGGAAATTGCATCTTGTTTAAGTTGGTGGGGGTTTGAGTTAACCGGGTTCAAGTAAAAAGGGTTCTTCTGATGGTGCATCTGTTTCTTTTGTTTCTAGGCTTCTTATTCAAGACCTTTGCCATTACATGTAGTACAAACTGACTCAAGCAGTGTTTCCATGTCAGTAGGTAAGTTGCTCCTAAATATGAGAATGTGGAGACAGTGCCTGAAACTGTTAACTTATAACCATGCTTACACCAGTATATTTTACAACATAATACTCCAGAATAACATCTCATGAATTTAGTATTGTATTTTACATCCTGACCATGAAGAAATACCTCATGATTAACCCTTTCCATTTGGTTCACTGCATTACATTCATGCTTTCATTATTACCTAACAGCATATTCTTCTCCCCCTCAGAATATTTTATGGCTTTTAACAGCTAGCTGTTTGATCTGATTATTACCTTAAGTCTTTGTTTATCTCTGGTTTGAATGTTCCTTTTGATTTATTAATTGTATTGCCTGTTGCCTGCACTTTCACTGAATGTACTTTGCAAGCTGATATTTTCCACCAAATTAGAAGCCAGATGCAAAAAATATGTTAATTAATAAAGGTAATTTGAAGAGAGAAAATTGATAGATTAGTCTACTCTGCAGTGTCTCAAGGTGAGAATGAAATTATTTAACAGATGAAATCCTCTTTTTTTGCAGGAAAAGGAAAGAGAAGAAAAAGGAGAATGTCCCCTGGCTGCAGTAACCAGGATCCTAAACAACCCCAAGTTGCATCTGGGGACTTAGCAGGTTTGTTGTTAGACATATTGGCTATGACTGATAATACTATATAAATGTTTAATTATAATGCTTTTGAACAGGAGATTGAAGATTATCAGAAATTTTGTGTATGAGATGTAATTTTAGGAGATGAGAAGGGCGCAGTTATAGAAAACTAAGTTACATCATGGTAATTTGTCAATGTGAAGTTGATTAAGATGAAGACATTCACTCATGATTAACCCATAACATTACAATTTTAAAATTCTCTCACTGCATAACATCCATGCTTTCGTTATTACCTATTGGTATTCTTCTCCTCCTCAAAATATTTTATGGCTTTTAAAAGCTAGCTGTTTGATCTGATTATTACCTTAAATCTTTGTTCATCTCTGGTTTGAATGTTCATGATTTATTCTTTGTATTGCCTGTTGTTTTCTCACATGAAGTGGTGTTATTCTGCCTTTTTGCTTTTGCTTTTGTTGTAGCTGATTAAGTCTACTATCTTTTGTTGCACTTTCACTGAATTTGTTAATACTGGCAACTTCAAAATGTTGCCCCTATTTTCCTCTGAATTAAACTGTGCAACAGCCTTGTATTTTTGCAAGCTGATATTTTCCACCAAATAAGAAGCCAGATGCAAAAAACATGTTAACTAATAAAGGTAATTTGAAGAGAGAAAATTGATAGATTAGTCTACTCTGCAGCATAGTTGTATCCCATTTTCCCTCTCTATATATCAGATCTTCTTATAGTTTACTGTGTCTCAAGGTGTAAGTGAAATTATTTAACAGATGAAATCCTCTTTTTTGCAGGAAAAGGAAAGAGGAGAAAAAGGAGAATGTCCCCTGGCTGCAGTAACCAGGATCCTAAACAAACAAAAGTTGCATCTGGGGTCTTAGCAGGTTTGTTGGCTATGACTGAATCCTAATACTATATAAATGTTTAATTATAATGCTGTTGAATAGAAGATTGAAGATTATCAGAAATTTTGTGTATGAGATTTGATTTTAGGAGATGAGAAGTGGTTATTGGAAACTAAGTTACATGGCAATTTGTCAAAGTGAAGTTGATGTAAATGAAGAAATGCACTTATGATAAATCCTTAACATTGCACTTTTAAAATTCTCAAATATGATTGGTTCACTGCATTACATCAATGTTTTCATTATTAAAACATTCTTCTCCCCCTCAGAATATTTTATGGCTTTTAACAGCTAGCTGTTTGATCTGATTATTACCTTAAATCTTTGTTCATCTCTGGTTTGAATGTTCCTTTTGATTTATTGATTGTATTGCCTGTTGTTTTCTCACATGAAGTGGTATTATTCTGCCTTTTTGCTTTTGCTTTTGTTTTAGTTGATTAAGTCTACTATCTTTTGTTGCACTTTCACTGAATTTGTTAATACTGGCAACTTCAAAATGTTACCCTTAATTTCCTCTGAATTGAACTGTGCAACAGCCATGTATTTTTGCAAGCTGATATTTTCCACCAAATTAGAAGCCACATGCTAAAAATATGTTAACTATTAAGTAATTTGAAAAGAGAAAATTTATAGATTAGTCTACTCTGCAGCATAGTTGTATCCCATTTTTCCCCTCTATATATCAGATCTTCTTATAGTTTACTGTGTCCCAAGGTGTAAGTGAAATTATTTAACAGATGAAATCCTCTTTTTTGTAGAAAAAGGAAAAAGGAGAAAAAGGAGAATGTCCCCTGGCTGCATAAGCCAGAATCCTAAACAACCCCAAGTTGCATCTGGGGACTTAGCAGGTTGATTGTTAGACATATTGGCTATGATTGAATCCTAATACTATATAAATTTTTAATTATAATGTTGTTGAATAGGAGATTGAAGATTATCAGAAATTTTGTGTAAGAGATGTAATTTTTAGGAGATGATAAGTGGTTATAGAAAACTAAGTTAGATGGCAATTTGTCATTGTGAAGTTCATGTAGATAAAAGTTAACCCTGATGTTCTTTGTGATGCATGTTGCTTAGTGTAGTCCTTTTACAGAGCAGTCAACCAGAGGATTATGGGTGGTGTGTGCATGTGTTTATATACAGTATCATACTTATGTATCATACTATACGGTATTATTCTTTTTCATTGGTGTTATGGTAGCAGCACAGGGCTTGGGATACATGATTTAATTTATCATCCAAACATTAAAGCTTTAGTGAGTAGCAAAGATGATGCTACAAATGTGCTCCTGGCTTAAGTCATGTGTTAGGTTATCTTATTATCTATGGCTGTCACTTATTACTGGGGTCAGTTACTTAAATCTGACCAATAGGATTTGATTTCTAAATTATTTGTCATCTTTGCTTGTGGTGGTCCTGAGCACTGATTGGCACAATCAAACTAGGTTGGAAATGTTTGTTTCCTATGATGCGATATGCTTATCTCATTGACAAGACCCCAGTAACAGAATTTATTCCTTTCTTTAGTAAAACAAGGCACACCAACAGATGAGGAATTGGAAGAATTAGGCAACAAAATTGCTGAAAAGTGGATGAAGGTTGGACGACGTTTGGGGGTCAAGGATCCAAAACTACAGGATATAAAACAAAGATACAAGAAGCTGAGTGAGAGAGGATACCACATGTTAATGCACTGGAAACAGAAGAATGGTCATGAAGCAACATATCAAATTTTGAATTCTGCATTACAGCATAAACTCGTGCAGCGCAAAGACTTAGCAGAACAAATTTGTTACAATCATGGTAATTATTTTCAACAACATTGATTAATTAGAAATAATTGAAATGATTTATTCCATGACAGTGAATTTTGTATTAAGCAGACGCTGACCAAAGTTTTGGTTTCGTTACCCCATATTTACTGTAAAGCAAACCTGCTGTAAAAGGACACCTCCATTAGGTGGACACCTGTAGACACTAAAATTAATCCCAGTTTAAATATTTTACTATTAGTGAACAATTGGTTGGTGGGTCTGCATGGGGGTATGGTAATAGGTTGTTCAACTGTCCATTAACAGTTCTGACGTCATACCTTAAGCCTGAGACCCAGCTGTTGACAGTTAGTCTTAAATTGTACATGCCATTGAAATGTATCATGAGTAAACATTCCTCATTTTAATAATTGTTTTTTATCGGGATTTTGTTTTCTTGAAACAGACATACCAGACGTACCCAGAAATCATTTTGACGTGGAAGTCTGCCGGCGTGAACTTGCAGAGCATTACAAAAGAACCGCCAAGGTACCAACCTCTGTGTGGTCCAAAATATGTGCTGTGAATATTCACGAGATCTACACTCGGCTGTCCTGGGTGAAAGCGGAACAAACCCCAGCTGGGTCATCACGGGCTGTGCTGAATCACTACACTGATGTGTTCGCTGAAAACAAGAACGGATTGCTATCAAACAGGATACTCGTGCAAGGGGAGACTGGAATCGGGAAGAGTACGTTTGTGAAGAAACTGGCAATTGACTGGGCTGAACTTGACGAAAACAGGTTGACAGATGAACAGAGAGCTATCCTGAAGAAGTTCGAGCTTGCTGTTATTATTGATCTCAAAAAGGTATCTAAATACCAAAACCTCAGAGATATCATAAGTGCCTCCCATATTTTTGCCGATGAGGACACAGCCATGAAGGACAGTCTGCTGAGTTACATCACCCACAACCAAGACAAAGTTCTCCTCGTTTTTGATGGATATGACGAATACCATTTCGGAAGTAACTCTGAAATCTTTGAGATATTCAAAGGAAACAAGCTGAGAAAGTGTTGTGTGTTGATAACAACACGAATTTCCAAAGCGGATGAGCTGAAAAAGTTTAACGACGTGCATGCTGAGATCACTGGGTTCAGTGGAGAGGACAGCTACTCCTTTATGGTCAGAATGCTTAGTGACATAACGCAAGCCAGCGCATTACAGGATCATCTTTGCGAGCGAAACCTGTACGATTTGGCGAGAGTTCCGCTACTTCTCCAGTTCTTTTGCACTTTGTGGAAAAATGGAAGCGCACAGAGCTTTCCTGACTCCAAAACAAAATTGTACGTTTTAATTGTCCAGAACGTTTTGGATCATAATGAAACGGAATGTTCTCCTGCTAACTTTCGCAAAGTTGAAGATTTCAAAGAGATTCTGGCTGAAATTGGAAAGGTGGCTTTAGAATGTCTTATGAAGGACGATCATGTATTCGAGTATGATCAACTGCCCCCTGCCATCCGGATTCCTGAAGAAAGTCGGATTAGAGGCTTACTTCAAGTCAGTGAGTACTCAGAGAATCTTCGACCAGCAGGGATGGTATCGTTTATTCACAAGAGCATACAAGAATTCTTAGCAGCGTGGTATATTAACTACAGATGTGTCCCTGAAGGAAATCTCGGTGAAATTAATGACCGCACCCGAACTTTGGACGACTGTAGATCCTTAGAAAATGTTTTTCAATTTGTTTGCGGTTTGTCTGATGATGGAGCAGTGAAAGTTTTTGAACATTTGAAATCGGTTAGAATTTCTGACTCAGAACTGGATTTGTCAAAAATGATACCTGATGGGACAGAAGAGCCACTGTGTGACATTACATTGAAGCACCACCGGTTTTTTACCCTGGTAAATAGTTCATTTGGTGAAGTTCAATCTAAAACTGAAGTCTTAAGACATTATTTAAATTGCACTGACGGGATCATCTTTGTTGAGGGAGGATCAGTTCGTGAAATTATACCCGAACGTATAATTTTAAATGGAATTACTCTTAATGGTGTGGTTTGGTTGGGAAAAGAATTTTTTCTTCAAAAGGCGACGAAAATATACGAGTCGATCGAGTTTCTCGATTGTTTGGACGTTCCCCTTAGGATGACTGAGAATTCAGTGGTTGTCGCAGTTGGGGAATTTTTAAGAAAGTTTGAAGCTATCAGATGTGCTCTGTTTTTTTCGTGTAATTTCACGTGCATTCTTCGTTACCATAACGGCCAGGCGTTTTTTTACATCACTCATTTGTACCTGCATTGTAATGACCATGCTGACTTATTTGATGTCACCAACTTGACTTCCACTCCATCCCACTCCACAAGTTCGTCATCAGAGGGATTCTGTTTGAAATATCTAAGCTTTCTTCTCATTTCTACAGATGTCAACGAGCAAACGATGAAATGTCTTGTTACCATTTTTAGAGATTGTAAGAATTTAAAAAATATTGTATTTCAGAGTGTAACTAAACGTACTTGTGAACTTCTTCAATATGTACCAAACCCCCGTACGTGTCGGGTACAGCTTGGTCATTTCCCATTAGTTCCTTCAGGCGAGCCGTCACTGACGTCAGCCGACGTAACGAAGCTCGCTGGTTTGTTACCACAGTTTAACAATCTCGTCTCACTTAACCTTATCTTAAATGACTGTTGTGCTGAAGCAGTAAACAAACTGGTTTTTAGTATCACGCACAAGACTCTTGAGGAACTGGGACTGCATGGCATTATACTGACTCCAGTCACAGCCGCCGCGCTTGGTCGGTCAATTTCTGAAATGTCGTCCTTACGTGAGCTCTCGATATCTGGGCCGGAAAGAGGGTTTCTTGAAACAAACGAGATCGAGGCATCACCAACAGAATTTGACAGAACATCTCTGGTTTCACAATTATTTACGTTCAACACAGGAGGTTGTCGTTTCTTGCCCAGTTTGCGTAGTTTATATCTTACGCGTTTAAATTTGAATGAACGGGGCTTACGTGAGCTGTTGGATAATTTGAAATTCTTCTCAGAGCTGAGATACATTTGGCTATCTGGCAATCCACTGGGTGACAAGCACACGGTTCACTCTATGGTAAAAAAAGCACTGCCTCGGGTTCATGTTTTTTATTGATAACGCCAAGTTCATTCACCAAGTGAAGGACACAGACGTTTGCACTGACAGGAATGAATGACTGTCTTTAGTATC